ATCTTCTCTTTCTTTCTCTTTATCCACAGTGAGTGTGGCATAAGACATTTACGTGGTCCAGGAATGATGTGTTTTCTTCTTCATGCTTGAATTGCTAAGCTGCAGAATATTCTGGAGTGATGCACTGCCTTTCATTCAATATTCATTGCATCAGGGAGAAGGGAAGGAGACGACTGCATAAGTGGCTCAGACACTAGGATGGGAGAGAAGAGCTTGGATTTCAGATGTCTATCCAGTCAGTCAGCAGATTTTTTTTTTTTTTTTAGGAAGTAATGATTTGAGTGAGACTTCAACTCTGTCCTGATCAGTGTGAGCCACAGATACCTGCGTGTTCTCTTTGGCACAGTACCGATAAACTCACAGTTTCAACAGTTTTTTACTATCCAGCCTCCATAGAGAAAAGATTGCAGCACTCTCAGTGTGAAATGCCTTGTGCAATATGTGGTTGATCCTTTTGCTAATGGACATCCTGATGGGGAAACTCTTCTTCTAGGAGGATTCATGGGAAATAATGTTTTAGGAGTTATTGACTAATCAGATGCATATCCGTGGCACCACAGAGCATGAGGTTATCACCTGATAGTGTCTAGAGCATGGAGATTTGGACTAAAATGCAGCTGGAATAAATTAAGCATGCAGTCATCCTGTGCAAGATGATTTTTATTCCTCCATCTCGTGGTAGATTTTTCCCATATTAAAAATAGATATTTCCATGTCAAATTTCCTGTTTTCCTAAAGAGAAAATAAAAATAGACTTCTCAGAAACACCGTTTTTTGTGGTCAAGTTCATATATTGGAGCTTGTGGGTTATGCTTTACTTCAGAGCATTGCACTGCATTGTTGAGGGGAAAAGGAGATTTAAAACAAAGAAAAGTCTTGTTTGCCTCAGCTGCTGTTATGGTATATTCCTCCTTTTGGAGCAAATCCAAATGGGAACATTTCGGTCTTCAGTGCTTGTGTCTACATAACCTTAGCACTGCCCTTTTCCTCTGTCAGCATGCCTGTTCCCTGTGCAGGACTGTAACTGTATGTTCAAACCAGACCTTGAGGTCACATTGGCTGTTTTGTCATTTATGTTTGACCCTAACCACTTGGTTTGCTTCAGTTCTTAAGGACAGAGTAGCAAAATGCCACTGGTGCCTAAGCTGGCAGGTACAGAAATCACAGTTGTGAATTAAGAGGCATATCCTGACAGAAGCTGCTCCACTCATTCCTGGCTTTCTGAGCAGTTAATATACTTCTTTTCTTCTTATTACTACGCACATCTGCTTTGCTTCTGTGTCTAGTAACTCTGCAGAGTTGTTTCACACAGGAGGGAGAAATTACTTTTTCTGTTCCCTCAATCATCCTTAACTGAACTAGCAAGAAATTCTGTTTTAGGGCTTTTAGGGCAGATTGTTCATGAGGATATTTAGGCCAGTTTCACAGCTGGAAATCAAGTGAAAGCTGAGTTTGGATAGGAAGTGTTTTGCTTATGAATTTTACAGTTTCTAGGAGAAGGAATGAACAGAGATGCTGCTTGCTGATAGTTTTCTTTTGGAATGATGTAGTTTCCAGTGCAGTTGTCTTCCACTCTAAGGGTTGGGCAGTTTGTACTATCAGCAATAAATTCTGATTTGGAGGGAATTGTTGCTTTAGGCTTTGCAGAAAACATATCATCCTTTAAGTGCATAATAAATACATCCTCAAAAATAAACAAGGGAAGCCAAGAGGAAAAAAAAAAAAAATTAGACAAAGTTTGTGTAACATGGTGTAATTGGCAGATCTGCCATTCTGGAAAAAACAAAGAGAACTTGGAGAAGGAAGGCAGCTTGAAAACGATTGCAGCAGACTAATGTAAAACTTCCCTGAAATTTTGGTTTTTTTGGGTTCTGTTTCCTAATTTGTAAGGCTGGTTTGCAGCATAGCCTTATGACAGAAGGTGAAGCATGTTTTCACGTGGTCTGTGGGAAGAGTTCAGCCTTGCCCATCACAGGTAAACAGCAGATCACTTGAAGATAGATGTGCCTTCTAAGGGTAACCTAACTAATATAGCAAGACTGGGAGGGAAAGGAGTATATAGAGAGGAGTAAGACAATTATTGCCTGAAACTGCTGTTATCTGTGTAATGTTTGTGACCAGTGGCCTGAGCCATCTGCCAGAGTAATCTTCTGCCCCCAAACTGTGCTCACACCCCCACATAGCCTGTATGTGAATCCTGGCCTTATACAAGGCTTGTGTTACAGGGTGGCTTAAGCACTGTTTGTGACAGCATATCTGCACCCATAGCAAGCAGTTAGGGCTACTTGAGTTAAGTCATAGTTGTTATCCCAGTAGGGTTTTGTATCATAGCGAAGGCTTGAAGGTCAAAAGAAAAGGGACAGGCTCGGTGTATGATTTCACTGTTTCAGAGCAGCAGAAATGGTAATGAGAATTGGAATGATTGCTTCCAGGATTCAAGACGTTTGTAGGGGAAGTACTGCAGGTCTTGGGAAAGGCTGTACATTTTGGGTTTCTTCTCTAGTTGTTTCATGTTTGTCTTGCTTCACTCTGACCTCAGCCTTCGGTAAATGAAGAAAAAAAAGAAACACCCATTGCTCTGCTGAAGTTAAGGTTCTCTAAATTGGAGCTTATGCTGACTGTGTGGCAGTTTCCAGAGGTACCCTGCTGTACTGTAAAACATTTGGACTCTCGTTTCAGTGATGTATCACCCAGATGCCTGCCTACTACAGTACTTGTTGCAGGTATTGTTTCTTGTATGGGCAGAGTCTGAAAAGTATTCAGCTTCTACTTCCTGAAACTTGGTGGCTGCTTAATTGGAAATTAAAAGTGCATGAGGCTTTCTTTGGAAATCATGTGGCCTGGATCCAATGACAAGGTAACCCATATCTATCCCACAGCATATCCAGTAGTAGTTTTTTATGATAATGTTTTGTTAAAGTAGAGGTTTAAGGGAGCTGTTTACTTACAAGCCTATTTTGATTCCTTACAAAGGAGAAGGCTATAGAAGGTCACTTGGAAATGAAGTAATTCGATGAACCTAGGCAACAGGAAGCAAAATAGAAAGATGATATGGCAATTGATGCTGGGAAGGGATCTCAAGGTTAGTTATGAGCAGGCTGTTTACAATTTTGACTCCTGGGTGCCTATTGTTTAGGAGGAGAAGAGGGGATAAAAAAAACTACAAAGAACACAGCAGAGGAGTCTCCAGCCTTCTTCAGTGAAGAAAGAAGAAGCAGAGGTGGTAGGAAACTATTAAATAGGCTTTAGTTGGCATGACACTCATGACAGATACCAAAATGGTGCCCAAAATGCAGAAAACACCCCTGTGACTAGAAGTGGGGCTACACAGGGTAAATCTGTGGGCTGGATCCAGCCACCAGGCCACAGGTTCCCATCTCTGAAGGTTGAGTCCAGACCTCCCTGCCACATACAGAGGGCAGTTACTGCTCAGGAAAGAAGTCCCTTTTCCTGCCAAGGCTGTCCTTGTTCTGGCAATCTGTTCCATGTGTGCTGCTGGTGTATGTGGTGGAAGGAACTTAGCTGAAGAGTAAAGGTTTATTTCTGATATCTGTGGTTTGGGTGTGGAGAGACACAGTTTGAGAGCTTTCTAGTTCAGGATTTTTTGAAAAGAGAGATACTGGAAAAGCATATAGTTGATTTCTGTATCTGGCTATTAAGTGCAATGCCTTCTTCTCAGGAAAAATGTCTCCACAGCTGAAGATTATATTCTTGTCTTTCAGTCTGTGAGTGGTTGCCCTAGCTCTTTGAGGTTATCACTTGTTTAAGCAACTGCTTTTGGGCAGCCTGTTCTTTTTGCTGTGGAGATAGCAGGTAGGTAGACAAAGCTTTCAACCTTTGTATTTTAAAGAAAACTTGTCCATCTCAGTATGAGCGCACAGTTATACCATATGTATACAATCTGTATATATATTTTAAATTGTAAATGCAAGATTTCATATGGTGGTTAGCTGAGGATACTCAGAAGCATGTGATTCTTCAGCTGCTCCCAGTTACCACTGCAGCAATGCCCACAGGCCTCGCTCAGTCCTTTGGGATCACTTTAAGTCCTCATATAAATGTATGAGCTGTAAAGAAATGGATTAGATGTGACAACCCCTAGGACAAATACTCTGTATCACTGTATGATGGAAACAGAATTATGCTCTGCAGGGTGGCTGTGTTGCTTCCTTGTACAGATTGCTGGAGAGGCTGGGATAGTAGTGCCTTTGTCCTGAAGTCCTCAGCTGTGCTCTGTGCCTTAAGTTCCTGGTATATCAGAAAACATAAGGGCAGTATTCATCTCCTTGCACACTGGATCTGGACTGTAGGCTTTGGATCACAGTTCATGCTATCAAATCACATCCAGGGCAATTAACAGTGGTACATTCTTATCTACTGGGCTGGAGCAAGTAATTTCAAGTGTGAAAGGAAGGCAGTTCTTCAGCTTCTTGTGGAAGTACAGAGTGGTTATCTCTCAGATCCCTGGAATCAATGTGTATAAACACTTGATTAAAAAAAAAAAAAGAGATAAAATGACAAAAGAGTTTTAGGGGCAAATAAAGCATTGTGCTTAAGTATTGGGTACACGGAACATGTTTGTAATACTTTTTTTTTTTTTTGGTGAATCTTGTACAAAGGTGGGAAAAGCTAATTTTAATGCTTGCCTAGCTGTATCTCTCTTTAGTGACTTAGAGTGTTAGATTTTAGTTCTTAGCTGCTGAGATCACCAACACTCCCATGCATGAAGCGTGTATGACTTTTCATCATATTACTTAATCTGAAATATTCCCTTTTAGCTAGCATTTTGGCAAAGAATTTCCTGGGCGCGTGGTATAGCTCAGATGATTCATTGCACTTTGCTTCTCCTTTTATAGCATTGCAAAATTCAATAAAGCAGCAGTTCAGCTTTTAATCTGAGCGCAGTAGTTTATGGAGCAGCTCAACAGACAAGAGAGTCTTTCAGGTTCTCTTTGTTTTCTGAAATTAATTGCTTGATTTTTTTTATTATGCACCTGCAGGAATTTGTTACTGTTTTGGTGCGAGACCCCAGGACACAGAAAGAAGACTCATGGCATTCTTACATAGACTACGAGATATTTATTCATGTGAGTATAAAAATATCACCAGAGATTCTTTGGACTCGTACTATTGCTTCTGTCCAAGTTGGGACTCACTGCAGGTATTAATGGAATTTCTTTGCAACAGCTGTGGGAGGCTGTAGGATGTTAGTCTCCTTTTAATGATTAGCTGCAGTGGAGCAGGTAAGGATAGACTGGCCAAAGACCATGCAGAAAAGTGCTTGGGAGAGCTGGGAGTAGGACCTGGTATTGCACTCACAGTTGCATTCCACACTGTCTTACAACAGATGCTATTCTTAGCTTTACTTATCAACTTAGAAGACTGTCAGGATCAGTGGTATTTTACCATTACAAAAGAGTTCTGGTGTTCAAGTATTCATGCTGAAAACAGCTTTATTTGCAGGTATCTGTTTATTTGTCCTTCGAGTTCTTCTGTTTGCCGAGTTACTTGGTCACTGCAGTGTGCTTGTTTTCAGTGTACCTTGACAGTCATGACATGCCAGCTCAGTGGTGCTTGGATGTGTCAAATAAGGATATTCTGGTTCATAATTGTAGTTTACCTTGTGTTAATGGGAGTGCCCTTAGAGTCATAGCCTCTTGTGTTAAATCTGTCTTATACATAAGTTTATTTTCTTCAGTGGATGAGAGTTACTTTAATTTCCTAAACTAGAAAAGCTATCTTGATTTCCTAAATCTAGATCCAGAGTTTTTAATTACAATGTAAATAAAGTTTTCTGAAGCATGTCAGCTGTTGGATGAAGGGTTTGAGAACACCAGGTTACCTGGTTAGCACAAGAAAGGAAGAATTTGTCTTTGTGGGAGTTAAGCATTCAGTCAAATGATCGCTTGTTAAATGTCCATCGTTAGAAGCACTTCTACCCTGTGTGTCAATCAGCTGTGAAACTTCTGCAGTGTGGTTTAAGTGCTGATTCAAAAGTGATAATAATTTTGACACACAGGTAAGAGAAATTCTTTCTATTTGGCAGTGGGTGGTGTGCTCTGCTACTGTTTCATAGGCAGTAGTATTTCTCAATAGAAGTGTAGTACTGTCTTCCTCAGCAGCTGTTAGAATCATAGAATGGCTGGGATTGAAAAGGGCCACAATGATTGTCTAGTTTCAACCCCCCTGCAGGGTTGCCAACCTCCAGACCAGGCTGCCCAAAGCCACATCCAGCCTGGATGGTTAAATTTGAGACAAAGTCATTTAGACACGGCGTTACATGACTCATTGCTGAGCATTTCTGAAGCTGGTAAGCATCAGCTCGGTTTCCTGCCAGGACTCTGACCAAGTATCTAGATCAGTCCTACCACCCAGTCTACCAGTTGGATTCAAAGTCTTGGTTCTTCCAGGTTCCTAGACCAGCTGGATTCCCTTTCTATCTCCTAGAGTACTTGAATTCTTAAGCTGTGCGCTAGCCAAGATACTCATCTGTTCCAGAAAGCTGGCATCTTTGTGCCTTGCACAGTCTGCATTGTACAGTTGGCTAACAGCTCTCAGCAAGATACTGAGGTCTGCTTGGACTGCAGACAATTTTATAATGGAGTCTTGTCTAGGAGATGGTGTTTCCCCTAAATGTATGCTCCACAGAAAAACTTGGCAAAAGCATTTAATCTTCATGAATTGTTTCTCTTTGAATTGGCATTTTCTGGTGGGGTAGTAGTGTTCTATGGGAAAATTTCCAAATTTTGCAGAGTGCAATTTCTTTAACTTTTGATTGCACACACTGTTAGAATAGCTAATTGTTTGCAGAATTATAACTAGAATAGCTAAATGTGGCTTTTTTCTGTAAAGTTTGGCATTGTCTGCTAAAACTTTTTTTTTATATAGAAAATTGTACCATTATCGTGATTATCCTCTCGATTTTAAAAACAAAAGAAAAAAAGGTGATGAAAAATTCACCTGAGAAGCACTACAAACTGTCACCAGTCCTGTCTGAGATACAGCACGGTCCTCAACATAAACTGAATTAATGTCAAACTTTCCACCGGTGTCACAAGGATTAGCATCTCAAATGTTTTCTTTATATCATGCCTGCACTTTATGCTGAGCTTGTTTGCAAAACATTATTTTATTTAACTTCCCAACAGACAAACAGTATGTGCTTTACGAGGAAAACATCCTGTGTTAGACGGCGCTTCCGAGAATTTGTTTGGCTTCGGCAGAGGCTTCAGAGCAATGCTGTGCTCATGTGAGCAACTTTTTATTACTGGCTTGTTTCATTAAATATCTATTTAATAATTTATCAATAACACAGGGAAGGGGAGCATTGTTTCCTCTTAATTCTGAGAACCGTAAGAATCAGAACTGGGAAGTGTCCTGCATTTCCTGCTACTACAGTTTATAGGATCATAGTGTTTTAAACTCAGAAGAATGTGGTTTGTACTGATAACCTTTGTTTGGTGAACCCCAGTCTAATTTCTAACAGATCTGAGCTGTTTCCTTTTGCTGCACAGAGGTAGTGGAAACAACCAATGTGGCCAACACAGACTACTAGGCCATGCTGAGCTTGAGGCTGCTTAAACTTGTTGATGACAAGACTATAGGTGTATGTTCTGTGAGCTTCTGGGATGTGCATGGTAGAACCCAAGAGCGTAGAGGGTCTAGGCAGGCATACCTGCAGTCATATCAACTGGACCAGAAGAATCTGAGTCATTCCTCCTTACGAGGTGTTGTCAGAAGCCCTCTGATTTCTCAACTTTGCATTATCAAATTCAGTTTAATGAGGCTTCTGGAATATGACTCATTATTTTAAAAAATGTGGGATTGGCATTTGCTTGTATCAATTTTCTTCATTGCTTCAGCTTTGTTTTTAACTGTGTACTTGCTTGTTCTTTATAAAGACAGTTACCTGAACTGCCATCTAAAACTCCCTTTTTCAATATGAACAATCCCCATCACGTGGACCATCGTCGCCAGGGCCTGCAGGAATTTCTGGAGAAGTAAGTGCATCTTGTCTTAGCGAAGTTGGCTTTTTCATGATGTCATCAATTTTGATTGAACGTAGTTCATCTCTGGTACCTGAGAGCCACCTTGTGGTCAACTGTACATGCTACATGTTTTGCTTTATTTGTGCAAAGTCATATTTCATACACATGAATTCAGCTGTACAGGCTGTCAGAAATCGTCAGCTTGAGGTTTTCTGTCATTTCATGGACTGATTAGTAGTAATGGTTTAGTATTTATATTGCTTTGTGATTGGTTATTAAGGTTGAAAAATATTTCATGGTGATGCTTACTTTTGTCTTCCAAGAATAAGCTAGATATTCTTTATACAAAGAAATAGACTGCTTTCCATCTCTATATTCATGGAATATCAGTGTCTCTGTAATGAATTCTGGGGTCTGTACCACTGGGAGCTTGGGAAAATTTGATAGCGAGTTCTTCTAACATGGATACTACCTATAATGCCAATTACTGTGTTTACCACTGCCAACATAAACAAGCTCTATCAGCTGTGATAATTTTCACTACAGCTGCAGATTGTATAAAATCATTCAGCTGTGTGGTTATGTAAAAGATTTACGTAAATGAACACAGCTAGACTGTGACCTGAGTTACAGGGGAGCACTGTGTTAGTTCCAGCAGTGCATTGCTCAGTAATGCTGCTATAAAGCCCTTTATCATCTGCAGTGGCAGAGACCTCATTGCTGTAATTTTCTGCTTTCTCTGCCATTATCCTATATCTTGCCACTGCTGTTATGAGTGCAGACCTGTTCAGTGTTGCTATGGCAGAACTGTGAATGACTTTGGATGCTGCCTTTAGCCTCTGTTCAGATTAAGAACATAGCAAACCTGAGAACAGAGACATTAATCTTCTATTGTTATTAATGTTTCTGTGAAGCAGAGCTGCATAAGGAAGAAAAATCATTTAAGACTTTAAGCCTTATGGTCAGGAAGCAGAGGAATAGTAGGCCCACTGTTTTTCCAGTCAGTATGTTACAATTATAGGTTTCCATAGCAGACTGTAAATGCTTGTTCCTGAAATATATGCATTAAGCTGAACAACTGAAGGCAGGGAGAGCTAGCCATTGCAGAGGCTCCATGTACAGTTGTATACAGGATCTGTGGCCAGAAGGGTAAATACTGGTTGAGGGCAGATAAGATGAGGAAAGGAAAGCAGAAAAGGATGACTGTGTATTTTCTTACCTTACTCAGGAGAGAAAGACACTGAAATATCGCCTCTAGAAGCACAGTCGCTAATACTGATGGTCAGCCAAAGAGTCTGGTAGTTCAGCCCCTGTGTCTGAGCAATTTTACATTATCTGTGCCTCCTCATGGAGTGGTGAATTTTCAAAATCACTCTTATTTTAAAATGTTAACAGATTGGCCTCTGCACTAAGGTATGTTGTCTCAGCATCATAAATAATAACAATCACTGCCTGTGCTTCAGGAGACAAAACAGAGGTAGATTCTCTTGAAACAGATCATCACATTGTGATTTTGTGGATGCCTGTTTTGACAGGGTACTGACAGGAGAACATGATGGCTTGTTGAGCATTTTGCCTTGCTGCTGTTAGTCCAGGAGTGAGGAAAGAGGCATCTCTGTTGTAAGGAAATGATTTAAACGTTTCAATTTGGATGCCTTTTAGAAAGGTGTCAGCTTTCCCTCAGCCCTGGGGTCTAGTTGGAAGGAATTTGCAGAGATAAGTTGTGTGGTGATGAATTGACTTGGCAAATAGCATGCTGTACCATTGCCCTCTGCTGGCTGGCATGTTAGATGTACTGCTATTTATAGTTAGGATCTTTTTATTAGCTGATCCATATTGCTGTGATGCTTCTTTTATTTATTTCTAAATAAGTCAGGACCAAGGGACTTATTAGATCTTACACTGAAAAAGCATCTGGGGGACTCATTAACTAGTGTGTTGTCTTTAAGTCTTGTATGTGATCATTGCTGATTTTGGACTGCTCCAGCTAATATACTGAAAGTACTCCAATTCTTCTGTCTTAATATATTGGTGGTTTATATACAGTTTATTTATACAGCTGATTTTTCTTTGTGGGATGAAATCTGTGCCACTTGTGTGCATCTGTTGAGGCAGAGGTTTATAGGTAACAGATTTCAAATGCCCACATGTAAGGAACCCAGCCTATATTTGATATGCTATAAGCTTATTGGCTTGAAACCATACCTGCCGTGGAGTTCAGTTTTGTAAGAATTTCTGATTCTTCCCTGTGCCCATTGCTCTGTGTGAGAAGTTGCTGCAGCTTCTGCCAGGACAGCAGCCACATGCCAGAGGAGTAAGGATTTTGCTGCTGGAGGCAGTACCTTGGGAGCCCTGTGGCATCCTATCTTTGTCAACTGCTGTAAAGTCCCTTTGTTCTTCACATGTCACTCAACACAGGTAGCTAGCATGGTGAGGTGCTTAAAAAGGACCTCTGTGTAGCTTCTTCCTGTAAAACGTGCCAATAGCTGGAAACTATATCCAAGCTGTACAGTTTGGCGAAGTCTGAAAATGTTTCCCATTTTGATTTGGCTTTCCCACACCAGCACAGGGTAAGACCTGCTATTCTTACAGGTAATTATCTCTGAATGATGAAGAGCTGTAAGGCTTACTTCTTGTCTGGGCGTAATTTAATATTTCAAAAGTCCATTTGCATTAACGGAAGCCAGCTAGCCCATTTTCAATTACAAATTACTTTGTAAGAATCAGGAAGATTGTGGTTTTTTCCTGGTATGTATCCTCATGCATTTGAGGATGTCTGTAGGTTGATTCACTGGAAAAGCTTACTCTTAAATTGGAAGTCAAAATTGAAACACTGCCTTATAGGACTAGGTTCTACAAGATCCCTTTTGCTTTCATCCCTGAATAACTGAAGAACTGTAACTTTGGGATTCAGGTTGCCTTCCTTCCCACAAGCATAAGCTGGCATAGAGGTAGAGGGCTCTTTCCTGGAGAGGTCCCCACGCTGTGACACATGGAAAGTGGGGGGCTGGTTCTGAAGAGGATGGATCCCAGCCTGCCAGGGCCTACGTGGCAGGTTGGTCAGCACTGAGCAGCAGGAGCATTGCAGCCATAGGCAGGTAGGATTGACTCCTGTGAGTGATGGCTGCCTTTTCCAGTGGAGCTGTTCTGAGCAAAGCATTGAAGCTTTTTCCTATCTGGTGAGGGAAGCAAACTGAAATAAATAATGCTTAGCAGACATGCTAATTCTTAAATGTATTCATTATCAGATCCTAAACAGTTGCTTCACAGTTGCTCGCTATCAGTAACATTTCCTCTGTTATAAAAAATGAATGAGGAAGCACAGTAGGCTTTTTAAAAGGAGGAAATGGAGCTTTGTTTACTGCAGGCTGTGCAGCCCTGCGTTCACTGCGAGAGGCCGAGCGGATGTTCAATAGAGGGCACCACAGCCCAGGCTGTGATCTGTTGTCTCTCAAGTTTTATTTTCTCCTTTCTCTCCTGATATGATGTAAATGGGCAGAGTAAATTTGTTGAAAACAAAATCGGAGTGTTAACCTTCCACACATATACGAGTGTGCATCTGTCATTGTATTAGGTTACAGTAGATACAGGAAATCTTTAGTTAGGATTAAGTTGTACTGTTCGGCCATATGTTGTTCTCCTCCAGCAGAACAGTGTATAATATACCTAATAAAATCATGTTGAAGAAAACCAGATTTTGGACCTTGTCCAAATAAGACAAAGCACATGTTTTCCCTTTAGTAAATGTTCTTGCTGTAAGATGGGGAAGGAGAAATACTCCTCATATACTACCCAGAGTTTCCTCAACAATGACATTACTACTTTTGGTTGTGAAGTTGTATTTTCTGCCCCTTTTCTTTAAGGGTCCAGAGATCACGAGCACTTACTGAAAGCTTACAAACAGATTCACATGGCCACGAATAAAAAATGATTTTATTATCTCTAATTCAAATGTAGAGCCTTCTCCTGCAGCCCTCTTAATCACATAAGCAGTCATTATGCATGTGAGCAATCTGGCTGAGAGGAGTGAGATCTCTGACAAGTAATGACTGCTGATGTGATAAAGACTTGCAGGATTTAGCCTTTCATTGTTATTCTAGGCATGCACAGAAAGTCTGTTGTTCTCTTAAATGTGTCCAGTGAGTTTATAGGAATTGTCATTGTGAGCCCCATGACTCTGACATTAGCACAACTGTGGAGGGAGCTGATTTACGTCACTGCAACTGCAGCTTTGCATTGACACCTGTACTCATAAAACTGCTGGAGGAACACCATCAATGCTCCTGATTGGATTCAAACAGTGTGAATGCTTACTTGTGCTTTGGTATTAATGTTATATATGAGTATTAATATTAGGGCATTCCACCTTTTCTTCTGCTTTTATTGATTTGTGCGTTGTGCTGTGAGATTTTGACCTTGCAGCCCATGGAGCCCAGTGTGCATTTCAGAGGTGCAGCACCTTGCACAATGAGTCCCCAACTTGGTGAGGGCCTATGGGGTGGCTGCTCTGCCAGCCCTCAGTGCTGCTCCCACACCTGGCCACAAGCATGTGGTTATTTCCTTGGAACAGGATTTCCAACAGGAAAACGTACTGCTGACGGATGGAGCAGAAATTATTTTTCATTTTGATTGCTAGAAGGATGCAATTAAAAAGCAATCTAACCTGTTGGTTCAGATGAGGGGGTGAAAGCAGTTATTTTTTAATTAAAAGAAAAGAGAAACGTTTCAAGGGTACAACTGGGTGAAAGGTGTGTGTGTGTGTGTGTGTGTGTGGTTGCGTTTAACTGCTTTGCAAAATGCTTTGTGTGTTTGACGTCTTCCCCCGCCCCCAAATGTGTGCATGCTATTTAGCTTCACCTACGTCTTCCCGTTCCTTCCCCCCGGTTTCTCTTCCGTCATTTCAGCTCCAGATGGCGCTGTGAAGCAGAAAAGAACATCACTGCGAAATAATGAGTCCTATGTAAAGTAAAATTGGGAATTGAATTATAGCAGCAAAGGGGGGGAAAAAAAAAAAGTACAGTAGCCTTGAGGTCCCAATCAGTCTGTGCTCTCATGGCTTTTGTTTGCTGTACCATGCGTTGGGTTACTGCTGAGTTAATAACAGCGCTTTCGCAGTTCAAGGCTTAGCAGAATTGTACTGGACGTGAAGTAAAGCTAAAATGAATTTGTGTCCAATATCATTGGCATTAGCGCTCATTGCTCCTCTGGTGTAATGCCTCAAACCATCTAAAATCAATTTTAAAGATTAGCCATTATTTTATAAAGAAAATAAAATAAATTCCAAGCAGCAACCGAGCTGTAAGCATGGCATAATGGCACGAGCAGTTAGTTACTTGTGTTTTCGCTGGGTGGCAGGAAACTTTGGAAGGTAGAGGAAGAAGAAAAGCTGTGAAACTAAATGCCATGGGCAGAATTTAATCTCTTGGCTTTTGCTGTTACTTTGTATTAGACACGCCAATGCTTAGAATTGCAGAAATGTGCATCCCCCTCCTTGTGCTTATAAGCCTGGGAAAACGGGTAGCTCTCCTTCCTCAAGGGTTGAGCTCTGCAATGTTGTTTTTATACTTTTTAAATACTTTTTTTTCCTTTTCTTTTAAGAGGAGGAAAAGAGGGAGGAGAAAATTGACTCCCCTGAGCGCGCAAACCATGAATGTGGATTTACTGTGTAGAACAGTATTTTTTTTCTTGTATTTTCTGTCGCAATGTTTGTCGTCTTTTGGAATGTGTTTATCACGAGTCAAGGCTGAAATCCTCTGTTAGCATCCAGTGAATGATGACTTTTCAAAGCATTCATGAGGCTGGTGCTGTCAAGGTGTGTAGACTTGTAAATTCTGTGATTTGGGTTGACTTCCAGGGCATTTGCTTGCTTCTTTATGAGAGCTAAGAAGTTTTTCAGTATGTTAATACACTGCGTGCATTGGCTTTACAGATACGTACTCTGTTTGCTATGTTTACTTTTAATTAGAGTTGTGAGAATTTATATGAGGTTGAGAAGACAACATGGGCATGAAAATGTGTTTTGAGTTTCAGTCAAGTCTGTTCCTTCTTAGACAGTTTTATATGCACCTGGTAGGTCACTGGGCTCACTGGAGGCATTTCCTCACTGTAAGAAGTCAAAGTTTGAATTATTTGGTTGAGAATGCGTGTGTTTGCCTAGGCAATGGAAATATGTGCAAACACAAATATCCTACATTTTTAGTTAGACAACTCTTATTATTTGTTTTGACTTGCCAGAATTGTATAGGCTTAGATAAAACCAGACATATGTTAGCATGCTAATTAAATGTTGTAATGTTGGCTATTTTAGAGCATGGATTTCAGAATGTATTTGTATTTTAAAATGTTACAGTCCAAGCACTTCATTAGTCTTATTTGATAGAAGGAACTGATCAGTTATGCATTTAATTTTAATCAGAGTACCTATCAAATGCACTGTGTCTTACTGCTTTTACTACTTCTTGCATTTAATGTTATTTCTTGTCTCCTACTGCATAGTAATTATTTTTGGGGGCAACTGTTGTAGCCCAAATGGGTAGAAATAGGTAAATAAAGACTCCTAATAGTTTTGGTTTCTTTAAAGATATTTAAGTTTTATGGAGTGCTATTTGGCACGGCCATAGACATAATCTCTTTACTCACCTGGATAGGAAAAATTGCACGTGCAAATAGGCAAAAAGTCTCTTGTTACACATTGTAGGATATATGTACAGAAGAATTCCTTCTGTAGAGAAATGCTACAGCAAAGCTGCAATATTTTTTTCAAAATAGCGACGGTGATCTGCAATTTTAAGTCCTTGCAGAAGTGCCTCTACAGCGTTCTGTGTTCCTGGAACGTATTACACTTTCTTTACTCCACTATATGAAAGTAAATGCTGTGTGCTAAACGTATTTGAAGATTTAACTTGAAATACGTATAAGCCAAATATGAAAATGGACTTTTGAAAAGCTAGAATGAAATTGCATGTAAGGTTCTCTGAGAACTGTTTAGAGGTATATTTAAAACTGTGCTCAGTAGCAGCATTTTCACTCTTGTTTAAACGTATGTCTGTAAACAAGTTCTGGCTAACGTTGGCTCTGTTTGCAGGGATTTCAAAGTTTTCACTGCGTGTGTCTGGAGCTCTGTGTCTCTGCACACACTTCTTTGCCCAACCAAAGAAATTGGTGACCTGCAGCTTTCAGAAAAGCTTAGCTATTTAAAAACAATTATCCAAACAGAGACCAAATTTTCGTTAGAGGCTCCAACTGCCTGAAAATAATTAATTAATCCGTGTTGTAATAACAGATGGTTACACGAAAGAAACGTCCTTGAAGTTATTCTTATAGCAGATGTGCTTAACTCTTAGTTTTGTGTTTTTACTCACCTGAAATTCCAAATAACGTAAAAAGAAAGTAACGCACACCTAATCATTTTAATAAGCTCACTACATTCTGTAATTGATTTGGGATTCAGAAGGAATCTTAAAATCAGGGCATCATTTAGAATTTGTTCTGGTAAAACACTTCAGAATGTGCGTGTATCCACATAGAAACATTTCACTGCTCTTTTTTTTAAAGGATTCTACAAAATGCATTATTGCTCTCGGACAGCAGGCTTCACCTCTTCCTACAGACTCAGCTGAGTCCGGAAGATATGGAGGCTTGTGTATCTGGGCAGACCAAATATTCTGTTGCTGATGCGATTCAGAAGTTTGCCTCTTTGAATAGGCGCTTTCCTATAGAAGATGAAGAGAGAAAAAAAGGAGGAAACGATGCAGACTCTGATTCGGAGAGGTGATTTCTGTATTTCCTTACTTCTCGAGATTGTGTGTGTGTGTGTATATATATATATACACACACATATATATATATATACATATATATATACACACACACACACGCATGCGTGTGCTTCAGTTTTTTGTTGATGTAATACTAAGATAATGAAAAAATTAATTGACTGAGATTTTATTGAGCTGTGACAGCTCATCATAGAAGTCTTCACACACACCTCCACACTGAATTAATGAATGCAGTAGAAATTCAATTATCTGCATTCTGATTATGTGAATTTCATTTAGTCAGACTTGAATTATTCGCGTTTAAATTATCTTGCTAAAAAAATATCCAACTGCACTCCAAATGGCTAATTAAAAGTCCAAATTTCCTGTCTCTCTTTGTGACTGGAGATAATTAAAGTTCTCCTCTGTTACTCAGGCTTTGAGTGTGTTGTGAAAACCAATTTCCTCCTTTTATTTTATTTTTTTCCTCTCCCCTTTTTCTGCAGTTCATCCTCCGGGCTTGGACCTAGTGATGACAGCATTTCATGTGGATGTAAAGCAAGCCTAGCTTCTGAAGAATCATGAAAGATCAGTTCTGTATTCTTATCTTAAGGACAGCACAAAATGGTTTCTTCTATGTTTACCAGTTACATACCCCACATAAATGCAACTTGCTAACAACAAGCACCTAAAAGACTCATTGTCAACACAACAGTATGTCCTTACAGAGTTTTTAAACAGGCCTCGATATTATTTCTTTGATTTATTATGTCTGCTGACTCAGGTCTATGTGTTACCTATTGCATTTACTTCTCTGTAACTATAATAATCTCAGCATTGGGTTAGTCGTGTTCCGCTGACTGACGTGGCTGTTAAAATATTTCCCTTAGTGAGTGCACGTCTTAGAGCTGGAAAAATAAAGATAACTTCATCCTCAGCTTTAGAGTTGGTGTATCATATCAAACACAGTCAAAGCATCTTTTTGTAATTTGCAACAGAGAAGTTTCATCTTTAGAAGTCATTTGACATTGGTGATGAAATTACATACCCCGCAAGGTATTAACTTTTTCAAGTAGCTCAGCAACATCAGCAAAACAACATTTGTACGAACTATACACTGCTGACAATTTGAGATATAAATATATCTTCCCTGATCTTTCTGTGATGTTTATGGAAAGCCTGTTTTTATCGTGTATAAGAACATAAGGCCAAAATTCTTGAGTATGGTTTCTTGGAAATTGGAAATGATAATAAAAATGACATAACTTCTAGGGTTGCTGAGGATTCTCAGTTCCCAGGGAAATGATGGGTACTTGTTCCCAGTGAGAATCTTGGATGCAGTCCATTAAAACCAATGGCTGAATTTTCCACTGACTGCACTGTGTCCAGGACTCCACCCAACATATTTAACTTCATGCACCTACGTGAAGATGTTAGGAGCCATGCTTTAATGTAGCAGCATAAATGCTGTCTGTCACTCCGAGGTGATGATGATCCCATAGCTGCAACAAGCGGCGTGAATGCGGGCTGGAATCTTTGGGAATAACTGGAGCTGCCGGTTCCATTGTGGCTGCAGTTAGCACATGGATACGGAGCACTTCACAAACAAAAGGCAGGCTTGGATACAACTCTGTAACCACCAATTCTTATTTTGATTAAACGTCAGCGCTGCTCTTTATTGTTAGCAGCAGCTGCGTAGCGTCTTGTCCCAGGCTCTGTCAAAGGAATACGTTTTGCTGTGGTGCTGTATTTATATTTGACATTTAGCTGCTATTAAAAAGAGCTGGGGGGTCCGATGGGCCCAGCAGAGCTCCGTGTGCTCCGGCGCTGTGTTCCCAGCCTAAAATGGGTGCGTGTGTCCTCTTTAAGAAATCCGGGGCTACTTTCAAAGAAGGAGCGTTGTTCACCTCCTATGCATTACAGAAACAATAGATTATTAACTGGACACCTCATAAAGGTTAGCACAGGCATGTGTGGGCACGCTTTTTTCAAGCATCCAGCTGGGAATCTGTGTAATTTTAGAAACGTGTTCTAATAGCCTGAGGATAACATCTCTTAGGTAACTGCTCCGAGCCACTGTTTTCTGTTGATGGCAGCGCTTTCCTGAGATAAATACCCGTGCTTCTTTTTGCTTAGTCTGACTGAATTGCACAAATGGATCTCTTTGCCATCTCGGCTTGTGTGCCAGTTAGCAACGAAGCTGTTTTAACGTAAAACTGATAACGTTTAATTAAAGCAACAAGTTATAGCTAAAAGTAGCCTAAAAATAGTACCACTGTCACGTAGGGATGGTTCCATTGCACTACTTTGTTTTGAGAGAGTGCATTATTAGAAAAATTGTTTTGGGAGCTTATTTAAAAGATGGGGATATATAAAGCTGGAATAAAGCTAGAAATGGGAGCGATGTCAGAGGATGATAATGCTGTTTTTATTTAATGAAGTATAGGATGGGTGGGCTTTCTTTTATTTTTTTTAATATTATTTTTAGGTTTTGTTTGGAAAGCTCGAGCCGGGCTGCTGAAGCACTTCACTGCCCTGCCCTGCAAACAAGCCCTCAATATTTGACAAAGTGCAGAAACACAGAGCGTGGAGAAACCTTTGTGGCTGTTTTGTTTTTCCATTCCAGGAGCTGATCTGTTTGTGCGCTGCTGAATGGATTCCAAACAAAGGTGTTTCCGAAATAAATATCAGTTTTCTATCAATTCTGTTCTTATCTTGCTGTTTCCTTTGTCAGATTGCTCAGAAGTTGGAATTCTACAGCAGCTCTTTCTTCTGATCGGGAAGAAATGTGTTTAATATTTATCTTCTCACTGTTGGGTGTATTGGTTGTACTAGTGCATCTTTTTTATTATTATTAAAAAGGAAGGAAAAGTGTTCTATGTCCCAGTATTTATTTTGTGTATCAGCTGTATGTGAGTGCACATGAATGCTTTAATTGGAAGCATTTAAGTGCTAGTTTCTATTTAACTTAAAGATATTAACAGGAAATCGGTGTCTTTTGCAACTTGAGCAAGGAGGTGATTGTGAGTGTCGCGCGTTTTGCTTTTGCAAGAGCAGCCCTGGTATTCAGAGTGGTATTTCTTCGTTTTGAGCCATGCCATTTCCTGCTGGTCTTTCAAACAGGGTAATGTTGAGTTTGTAATACATTAAATTACTATTGCCAATTTCATCTAATGGCAATAATTCTGTGCTCAAGTAATTGCACTCCAACACTGTGCTTTAGCTTTTGCTTAGAATGCAACATTCCTATTTTATAGGATGATTTCTTAAAGTTTTCAATTAATTAAACCCAGTTACCCCTTTTATCCTGTGTTTATACCTACCATTGAGGCTTCCTCTTTTTTTCTATCAACAGCCTATTTGCTTTGACTTGCCCTGTATAATTTCAACTATTTTTGTGATATGTGCATACACAGTTGTATTTGCTTTTCTTTTCTTTCTGTTTTCTTTCTGGTTTTGTCCTTTTTTTTTTTTTTTTTTTTTTTAATTCCCTCTCTTTTCCTTTCTTTCTCTTTTCCTTTCTTTTTGTAGAAATTAAGAGGAAATGGCTCCAGCCATCCAGGCTGTCGAATTACAGAGTGTGTACCTCCAGGACGTTGTGAGCAACCGGTTACTGTGCCACTGGAACACATTTAATAAGAAAGAAGAGAAAAAGACATCTTTTGGACAGCAAATGTTCATGAGAAGAGCAGGGTGCTTCTGTAAACCCCCTCTACCTTCTGCCTGAAACATCCCATGCCCATCCCATGAGATTTTTAAAAATACGTTGAAATGTTTAGTGGAATAATATTTAAATACTGTGGGTGTGCACTGTTGGTGACTGTCACTCAAAGCGTAGGATGTGGTTTGGCGATGGATGGCACAGAGCTGTGCGTTTCTCTGCTACTTGCAGCGCTGGGTTTCTTCCCTGTGGCTTTTACAGGGCTGCATCCTTCCCCAGCACCAAAGTACAGATTCTGATTTCTATGATCAAGCTGATTCTGTTCAGGAAAAGCTCCGGTGCTTGAGGAAAGGCAGTCACAGCATCAGAGAAGTGGTCGGGGTGGAAGGGATGTAGCAATCGTTACGGTGCAGAAGCATTGTGCTGCAGTGCCTTCTGCAATAACGCCTTGGAAAGCACTGCATCTGCTTCCTATAGCAGGAATCGGCCTCAGCTGGGAGCTGCGGCACTTCTGCTTTCGTTCTTTATTGATTTGCGAGGCACCTCGGTGCACGGCGTGTGTATATATGTGTATGTAATTGTGGGTGTGTGTGTGCAGCATCTGCAGAAGCTGCTGTGAGGGATGGGGTGAAAGAGGAGAGGAAAAAAAAGGACAAAAGGAAAAGTGTGTGGGGGGGGAGGGTGTGTGTGAAAGAAGGAAATAGGAAAGGAGAAAAAAAAAGTAGTGGAAAAAGAGGGAATAATGAAAGAAACAAAAGGGACACGAGATAAATAATAATAAAAACAAGCAGGGAAAGAAAGGTAAAAAAAGAAAAGAAAGAGAGGGGGAAGAAAACAAAAATGGGGGAGATGCGCTCTCCCCGGGCAGGCAGCGTCCCCGGCGTCGCTGCCCCGATCCCGCCGGAGCTCCGCTCCCTGCCCGTCCCGCGGCGCCGCGCAGCGCTTTACCTGCCCGCCGCACCGCGGGGCCGCGCACGTGTGCCCGCGTCCCGACTGCTGGAGGCGCGCGGCCGCCATGCGGTTACCCGTGGCAACCGCAGCCCGTGGCAACGGAGAGGGAAGAGAGGGAGGGGGCTCCGCGCGGGAACAAAGGGGGCGGTGGCTCCGCGCCCCCCGCCCTGCAGAGGGAGCGTCCCTCCGCGCCGCCAGGGGGCGCTGCGGTGCAGCGGGAGGCGCGGGGCGGGCGGCGCCCTCGCGGTGAGTGCGCGGCTGCGCGGGGCTGCGGCGCTTTTAGCGCTTGTGTGTGTGCGCAAATGGCGGTGGGCCGCGGCTTCGTGCTCCCTGCCCCGCGCAGCCCTGCCAGCAGAGAAAGCAAAGAGAAGCAAAACAAAATATCTTATTCTTTTGGTTTGATTTATTTTACTTCATCTTGCTTGATTGGGGGGCCTTCCCGCGCTCCCCGTGATGTAAGCCGTGGTGCCTGGGAGCACCGGGCAGGATTTATGTAATTAATTGACCAGTCTTAACCTGTTATCGTGATGTAAGGAATTTGGAACTCATTAATTTGGGCCCTGACAGATTTCATATTAGAGCTGGCAAATATGGATTGAGCCTCTTACTCTGGTAGCAGCTGGAATTTCAGTGACAGTGAGGATTAGTGAAGAAGACCTATTGCCGGAGTCAGGCTGCCTCTTTGTAATCAGCAGCCCCGCTCCGCATGAACGGGGTGATGGGAGAGGAAAAAATAAATACCAAAAGGGGGGAAAACAAAAGAATACAGGGAGATGTGCTCATGTAGGGAGCAGAGCAGGGAGGAGAGGGCAGGCCGGAGGCAGCCGGAGCCTGCTTAAAGGCTGCAGTGGGAAATCGTGGTTCAGATTAAAACACAGCAAATCTGTGGCTGTGTCCTCTGGGCAGCCCCATCCAGCCCACTGCCCCTCTCCTGTTGTTGCTGCCCTCCATCTGGGGATCTCATCCGTGCTGAACGTATTGTGGGTGCCCCTTCTGTCCCTTGGGGAAGGCTTCCCAATGTTGGGATTCACACCCACAGCAGGGCCCGCTCTGCTCACAGCAGATAACGCTCTGGATCATAGCTTTAAGCCACTTGGTTTAATGCAAAGCAATGAAATCCAGACCCACAGAGTATGGCTGCACTGCCCTGCTTCATAGAGCATCCTTTGTCTGGCTGCCTCACCCTGCTCAAGGAGCTCATGCTTCCCTGTAGGCAGGGAGGAATTCACCTCTTGATAAAATGTCAACCAAGCACAACTAATTTCCTTGTTCATTTAAACGTGCCACACATGCCTAACCTTACCATTACTTTAAAAACAAACAAACACACACCAAATTAAGCATCTTATAGTGTAGTAGGCTATTATAGTCACAAGTATTTGCAGTTCCTCTGATTCTTTCCATGGGTATATTTAAAATATGCTGGAGTGGTAATTACTTGCTAGTGTTACCTGTGAATTTGGGTGCTTGCAGAATTAGTCTTTACTACTGGCAGTGTCTTCCCTCCTTTTTGAGCTTGTACATAAGAAATCAGTCATCCGCTGAGATGGGCCCTTGGCTTGATTCTTGCATTGTTTCTGTTCTTTGATAGTTGATAAGAAAGCAAAGCAAAAATGTTAAATAGAAAACAGTACAGAAAAAAACCTTTTGGACAAAACCGTCTCTGCCTCACATGTCTTGTAACTTAACCCAAGGCAGAAGGCCTGCTTCAGGTGATGTGCAAGTACCAAACACAAATGTCGGAGTAGAAATGCTTAAGACCTATCAGGGGCTGTCCATGGTTCAGCTGCAGTCCATGGAAAAAAAAATAGTTGTGCTGCTTATACTGAAGTTGAAAAAAATTCTGTCTTCTGAATGCTGCTCAGATTAAAAATGACATTCTTGTTTGAACCAATAGGTGGCTTTTGTGAATGTGCTGCAGTCAGGTGGGTTTTTTTCCTGAGAACACAAAAATACCTGCTCTGAATTAAAGAACATTTTCAAATAGTGGTTTTCAACTGTAATGAAGATGCATTTTTATTTCTGAAAGGAAGTAGGTACTACATGAAGTTCTAAATTTGTTTTCTATTATTCTGGAAATTCCTGTTTTTTGTGTGTAAGTCTGTAATGCATGATCAATAATTGTGATGATAAAGCGGTCTGTGAAATCTATTCTTTCTTCTCCACATGCACACGCTTTCAAAGTGCCATATATTTCCAGTTTGTAAGACCTCTCACGTGTTCCTATTTCATGTTGTTTACTCAGGTGATTAAGGCAGTTTTAGATGAATATCTCCCTGTGCTTCAGAAAGGAACACTGTGGTTTTGCAGAAGTCTCCCCTCTGAGCCAAGTGTCAGGAACTTTGAATCTATTTTATTTCCTATGCGAGCGATACTCACTTGCTGTGAAACTGGGCTTCAGTTCAATTGCTGGGAATTTTGAGGTCTTGAATTTTTAGCATGGGACAGGATTTCTCCCATAAAATACATTGTTCCTACATTCCCACTCGTATCTGAATTTGCTTCCTGTGTTGATTTGAAGACTGTTTTTCCAGTGGTGAGATCGAAGTACCAATGTGCGAGGAGCTATTCTATCCTTGTGGGCTGGTGTTCTCCAAGGGAGGCTACTTTTAAAGGGATTTCACTGCTTCAAGATGTGCTCTGAAGGAACTCATAACCCCCTACACGTCTCCCATGGGAAAGCTGCTCCTGCAGCTGGAAGTGGCCATGAATGTGCCCCTTGGGACAGTGCTGCTTGGTCCCAACGAATTACCTCGATGGAAGAGTAACCTGTACATGGCAGAAAAATGGTTTCCTATCATATGGCCAAAAAGTGCCTATATTGTGCTGCTTATATGAATCTTCTCTGTTATTCTCCACATCAGAAGATCCACAGCCCTTGCTGTTTCGATGACTGAAGATGTTGGGAGAGTCCATCAAAAGGATGCAAACTTGATTGCACATAACAGGAACTCTGGAAGCAAGTTTGGCTCTGGATGACTGGAAGTCAAAGTAACCCCTTGGCATCAGTGCCTGCACATCACCGGCTGGATATAGGAAGTCCATAATTCTTCTGTGTTTATGATAAAGCTTTCCTGCTTGGAGCTTCAAAGCCCTCTGCAGTGAGGGATTAATTCAGCCTCACATGCAGTAAACAGGATCTGCTCTTTTACAGGGGGGAAATGGAGAAACAGCAAGGCACAGGGACATCTGGGGCCTGCCGCAGGCCAGGGAGGAGCTGGGACTTTCCCCTGTTCAGTGCCAAGTGCCTCCAAAAGGCCCTGCTATCGGCACAAGACCTTTGTGAGAGGGAGCAGAGGGGCCCCACTTTTTGATGTGTGACTTGAATCACCTGAAAGGGATTTGCTTCCCTCTGAACTCCAGCACTGGGAAACCAAGCTCCCCCAGGCATCTGTTGCGTCTGAAAATTTGGGCCTAATTATCCTTCAGACTGTGGCATTCAGAGCAGAGATTTATGCCTATTTTGGAAAAGAAAAGGAGGTTACTCACACCTCTTGCTGATTAAAAACCAGAGGTGAGGAGAGATGGGCAATTAGGTTACCTTGTTTGCGCGGCTAAATAAGCGGCATGGGCAGAATTTGCTCGGAGGGACCCTTGCAGCAGTGCTGTGCTCTTGTTAATCTCGATGCTATGGTTGGAACCAAACTGGAGGAAGCAGGGCTGGTGTTGACAGAACATTACAGGACAGGGCCTTGTTCTGTGCTTGGAGTTTTACAGCATTTTCCTCTCGTCCTGCTGCTCCATAATCGCAGTGCTTCCTACGGGGCCTTTATCAGTGCAGACCACTGCCTGTAAATAAGAGAAATCCTGTTGCAAAAGTCCTGAGCACAATGTTATCTTTGCTCTTTCCCACAGAAGAGACACGCTAGGAAATGCCTTGCTTCAGTTTGTTCCTCCTTGTTCCTGGATGATGTTGGAGCCATTGTAAGGAGCGAGGCTCGCATTTCCTCTCGAAGATGGCAGATGCACTGACGGGTGGGATTGTCAGCTGGGTGTGCACTGACATGTGGCATCCTGCTGGGTTCCTGGGCCAACCTGGGGCTTGTGAGCCCAAACAGCCTCTTGTTGGTCTGGGAACTGAGTACTCGGGATGCATTCCCTGCATGAAACCCAAGAACATGCAGACCTGGCTGCTGAAGTTGGAGAAAAATGACTTGTGCAGGCAGTGGCGTTTCCCTGGGAAATGAT